TTTCGATTCCTTATATCATTGATTAATAAACTCAACGCTTATATGCTTATATAGTTTGTTAGTGTGTTTATTTTATCTAAGTGATCATGGTGAATTATTGTGTTTTTAATTGTAAATGTGATTCAAGAACTAAATATTTGTTGATGCAGAATTAACTAATGATAAATTTACCTAATATAACTTATATTTAAGTTTGGACATTTTTAAGAAATCTAACAAAACATAATAGTTGTACAAACATAACCTTAAAATCAAATATTTTTATATTTGAGTGCTAAGAAATATTAAGAACTATAGTATAGGTACAGCCCAATCAAAATAGGTCGATGGCCATATACACAGTATAAAAATATTTGTTAATTTTAACCAGATTTTATGTTAATCCAGGTCCACATAACTTTATGTTAAGTTTACAATCAACTGTAATCTGTTAACTAATTAAATAAGTATACTATAGTTTGTATTTATGACAAACATTTTGTAGTAAACATTTAATAACAAAATCCTATATCAATAATTCAACAATCATATTTTTAGGCCCAGTAACAAAAGTATTTGTTGAAAAATGGGAACTTTTGTGAATTTGGGAATTTTTATAAGAAATGTTGCTTTATTTATCAATTTCCTAACCAAAAAAATTACAACACATACCTACATAAATGAACACAAAAATAACATACACACAATTAAATAACACACATTCTAAAATCATCAAATTATAAAGAAATTTGGTACAATATAATTATCAGTACTACTACAACACTTGTACTGTATCCCCTAATTTCAGTTTGATAACCAGTGATGGCATCTTTTTTCGGATACCTCGCACTTTGCACACTCGTTAAATAAGAATAAGAATAAGAATAAGAATAAGAATAAGAATAAGAATAAGAATAAGAATAAGAATAAGAATAAGAATAAGAATAAGAATAAGAATAAGAATAAGAATAAGAATAAGAATAAGAATAAGAATAAGAATAAGAATAAGAATAAGAATAAGAATAAGAATAAGAATAAGAATAAGAATAAGAATAAGAATAAGAATAAGAATAAGAATAAGAATAAGAATAAGAATAAGAATAAGAATAAGAATAAGAATAAGAATAAGAATAAGAATAAGAATAAGAATAAGAATAAGAATAAGAATAAGAATAAGAATAAGAATAAGAATAAGAATAAGAATAAGAATAAGAATAAGAATAAGAATAAGAATAAGAATAAGAATAAGAATAAGAATAAGAATAAGAATAAGAATAAGAATAAGAATAAGAATAAGAATAAGAATAAGAATAAGAATAAGAATAAGAATAAGAATAAGAATAAGAATAAGAATAAGAATAAGAATAAGAATAAGAATAAGAATAAGAATAAGAATAAGAATAAGAATAAGAATAAGAATAAGAATAAGAATAAGAATAAGAATAAGAATAAGAATAAGAATAAGAATAAGAATAAGAATAAGAATAAGAATAAGAATAAGAATAAGAATAAGAATAAGAATAAGAATAAGAATAAGAATAAGAATAAGAATAAGAATAAGAATAAGAATAAGAATAAGAATAAGAATAAGAATAAGAATAAGAATAAGAATAAGAATAAGAATAAGAATAAGAATAAGAATAAGAATAAGAATAAGAATAAGAATAAGAATAAGAATAAGAATAAGAATAAGAATAAGAATAAGAATAAGAATAAGAATAAGAATAAGAATAAGAATAAGAATAAGAATAAGAATAAGAATAAGAATAAGAATAAGAATAAGAATAAGAATAAGAATAAGAATAAGAATAAGAATAAGAATAAGAATAAGAATAAGAATAAGAATAAGAATAAGAATAAGAATAAGAATAAGAATAAGAATAAGAATAAGAATAAGAATAAGAATAAGAATAAGAATAAGAATAAGAATAAGAATAAGAATAAGAATAAGAATAAGAATAAGAATAAGAATAATGAGAATGAGAATATTGAGAATAAGAATATTGAGAATGAGAATAATGAGAATGAGAATAATGAGAATGAGAATAATGAGAATGAGAATAAAGAGAATGAGAATAATTAGAATGAGAATGAGAATGAGAATGAGAATGAGAATGGGAATGAGAATGAGAATAAGAATGAGAATAAGAATACGAATGGGAATGGAAATGAGAGTAGGAGTAAGAGTAGGAGCAGGAGTAGGAGTAGGTGTAGGAATAGGAATAGGAATAAGAATAATAACAAATTTCTGTTTATATATTATAAACACGCTGAATTCAGTTAAACTTGTTGATGCGTATTGTCAGCGGGAAATGTTTTGATTGACTGCCTGAAATCACGCGTACTTTTTCAACGAAATAATTTGTGAAATATTAACAAAACAATCTGTAACCTTTGAAAATAACAAAATGCTTACAAAATTGCATATTACTTTTACAAAACTTTCAATAAAATATTGTCCTTTTTTAAAATAATAACAAACCCTGGTTTTCTACAAAAAATTATGTTAAAATAAAAAAAAAATTAACAAAGTACAAACAGTGCAGAAACGTCCTTTTGGACATCGGTTCGGTGAAACTAAGCCACTTTCACTAATGATGAAGTTTAGTTTAGGGTCCGGAACTTCATTATCATAACAATTTTAGATAGCATGATCTATCTAAAATTGTTAGGATCTGCGTCAAAGTATAATTTGCGGGTATTTCGTTTAAACTGTCGAATCTAATGTAATGAACTGTTTCGTAGAGAAAACGGGCTTACGTAATAGCGTCAAATAATTCTGTTCAGTGTAATTGTTTAAGTTAATTTATAAGCAAATTAGTTAGATTAGGGCCAGTTAAGCTTAAGTTGTTGGAAGTTTAATAGTTGTAAAACATTACATAAAGAGCTTTAGAGCTTTGTACTCGTGAATATTAAGGGGGTGTTACTTTCAAAGGCACCTGAGACACTTTAGTGTACTTATTAAGGTAAAAGGATAGCTATTTCCTTCTTCCGAAAGCAGGCGGATTTTTCGGCCTCATTCTATGTATTCTTTATCCTTGTAAAACTTAGCCTTTTAAAATATTAACGAAATAAAAAGGCTTTTAATTCCGCGTGTTTTTATAATCCTGAGTGGAGTTTTACATTCTTTTTTTAAAGAATACATTAGAGGAAAGAAGTGAATATTGGCAGATACAACGAGATTTCCTGTCCCAGGCGGGTTAAAATCAATAAAATTAATAATGTAATAATTCTTGACGACAAATGATGTGCTCAGTTATTTGCTAAACAGTAATACAATCTGTACTCAAACTCTCGTCGAACTTTTTGAAACGTTTTAGGAGTTATCTGCTCACATTTTTTTTGTAGACTTGTGTTTGACCCCAAAGAAAACAAACTAATGGCGTTAAATTTGGAGATCTTGCTGGCCATTCCTTCTACCATCTATTTTTTGGAAAACCTTTGGTTCAACCATTCTCTGGCTGGTAATATAATGAGGAGGAGCTCCATCTTTGTTGAAAGTACAAGCAAAATGTTTTCTTGTTTTTTCACCAGGTTACTGGCGTATTTTGCCTGGATGCCTCATTAAAAAGTTAGTAATTAGTTCTTGCCACTTGAACAAATAACTATTTTTATAAAAATTCTCATCTGTGGAAATGCTATGTTATCCCTTGGCAATAAAATATAATAGGTATAATACGGTCCCAAAATTGAACTTTTATTATTTGTTTTTTCTACCTTGTCTCGTTACGCGTATTTCCCGCATCGAAGATAAATATATCCTGTTTAATTCCCTTTTGACATTTCTCGTATATGCGCTTATTTACTACACAGGGAAAAGTCTCTATTTAGGGGAGATGAATAATTCAGTATTGGGTAACTTTTCATGGATCCTGAATCTGAATTAATGAGGCAAATATTGAGTTATAGCCTTTTCGATATTCAAGGAAGTATATTATATAAAATTTTAATATTGGATTTATTGCAAACTTATTTTTTACAGGGAAGCGACGATATTGAAAAATGTCGCAAATATTTGGATTTTATGTAAATTTCGATGGAAATATAATGTTTATGTCATAATTTAGTTTTTTAAATACAAATTTGCTGTAGGTATTCGTATGCCAGTTTAACAGTTTGGAAAACACTTCTACACAACAAACTGCAAAACTTTACTATACCTTAAAAATTTAAATTGATACAAACGAAGGAACATTTCTTATTATTTTGTCGGGCCCTTTAAAAGTTGATTACACAATAAAATCTTGACCCACTTTTCATGCAACAAATACACGTTTGAAAAAGCTTCTTTTATGTTTGGAAGTACTCATTAATTGAATTAACTGGATCAAAAATATACATCATTTGTCAATAAGAAAATAATGATATTGAAACCAAACTCAAATAAATCTTGACATCCATGTTAAAGCATTGTAAGTTCAGCAAAGTAGAAAGGAACAACAAGTAAACTTGTTGCTAAAGCTGTAGAAATACCTCTGTAACCGAAATACGTCTCTGGGGTGATTCAAAAAAAAAACCTGGTTACATTTCTTTTAATAAATATAAATTGGAAATAAATGAGTCTTGGGTAAAGACCACACCACAGGAGGTTTTAGCTGATTTTAATTGAATTTACTTTGGGGTTACAAAGGTTAAGTAAACGCCTTAAATTATTTGAGTGACATATGAGAACCCCCTTGTGCTTTAATCTAAATGCAGTTACAAATAATTAAATAAATGTTTCTCGGATAAACTTTCTCCATTGTTTGTTGTATATTTTGATGAAAAATATGATATGGTAATTATGAAAAGCTGGCACTTTTGTCGCGACAAAATAAACAAAGAGTGCTGCATGAAAAACAAAAGGTTGATGGCAATTTCAAATTTGCGTCGTTTAGTTGAAATAACAAAAACAGTTGCGCTGCTTTCGGGGTGATTTGAACAAACAGACGTTTTACAAACATTTTATTAACAACAATATGGTAAAAAATTGCGTTCAGTACAGTGGTTCTTAAATAGATTTTTAATAGAAGTTACTTGTTTTAGCATCTGGAGTAGGTTCGTGTGGCCGATGGGACGCCATTTTTGTTGGAGGTCATTGTCTAAAAAATCCACATGTTTCAATTGATGTGTCATCATATAAAAGACATTTTATACTAATAAAATACAAAGAAACAAAACTTACCAAAACAAATCCAGAGCTTGTAAATTTGTAAACCCTTTGTCCAGAGACACCATTGGGATCTTTGGAGTCGACAATGATGGCGTCAGATTCCAATTTGGTGGTGCTCTGAAAAAATATTTTATATACAGTAAAAATTTTGCCCGTGTAAATTTTTTAGTGTATGGGTAAAAATATTAGAGTTGATTTGTAAGTGTAAAAGTTACACTAAAAAATACACTAGGTAGCATTTAGTGCTTTTTAACTTTATTAAACATATTTAAAGAATATGAACATTATTCATTGGTACATTCACACTATTTATTATTAAAATAAATCAAAAGGGTAGAAAAACTTAATGCGAGTGTTTATTACCCCTCAATGTGTTATATAGTGACAAAATGTACACTACAGTGCATGCAAATTTCTTTGTCTGTTTTGATGTTACTAAGAGCTCATTTTTTTACACTACTAGTGCACATTGTATCACAATTATAGTTAAATTACACCAATAGTGGCCAAATAGACTGAAAAAACTGGTAATAACCGAAATGCGTTTTAAAATGTTTGGTTGGTACCTACGCAGTGCATATCCGGAGATACCGCGTTGTGGAAGTGTGACATTTTTGTTCAGTTAGATTTTAATTACGGTGAATCCATTAGAGGACATTCCCATTTTTTGGTAAGTATTATTATACTTTCTTTTTCTTTAAGCCTTAATACTTTTAAAAGGATGTCCATACCCGACCTATATTATATATCAATAATTTACGGCAGTAGGTCGGGTACTTTTAACATTAATAATATATATATATACATAAACACTTGATTTACTTCGTATTTTCAAGCGTAATGGTTGTTTTATTAACCTATACCTAAATTTTTATTAATATTATGGAAAATTTGTACACGTGTGGTAAATCCCCGACATACAGCCGCATGACGCCTTTCTACCAATGGGATCACCCATTTTTTATAACAGAAAAATGGATTACTGATGTATTCTCAAGATAATTCATTGCTTACAAGTTGACAGCCAGTAAAACATTGCATTGATCTAAAACTTTTACGTTTTAAGGAACAATTTTGCTTAAGCCAGCCATACGACTCAAATATAAAATTATATTTTAAAAGGCACCGATTTTGATAATTTTCATAGATTTTTGTTCCAAATAAATGTTTCTCTTTATTTACCTTTTCGTTTTATTCACTACCACCAATAGGTTTTACTCAAATAATAGTGTTAATTTACACTAGAAGTTTGCACTAAAAGAGTAAAAGTATCTTTCTAAAATTAGAACTTTTCCAAAGTAGTGTTAATTTACACTGAACAAAAGTGGGATTTTACACAGGAAGTGTAGAAGTACACGATTTTAGGTAAATTAACACTTTTTAATACAGTGTAAAATTACTTTATCCTCAGTGCTATAGTGTTAAATCATACTTGCTTACTTGGGGAAAATTACACTACAAATTAACTCTAATTGTAGTGATATAAAACAACACTATTTAGTGTGGACCTGTGTGAACTCTAATCAGTGTTGCTTAGAGTTGATTTTTTTTACTGTGTAGTAAAAATATATGTTTAATTTGTTTTCTTTTACCTTAAGAACAACTCCCATTGGCATAGGATCATCGACTTCTTTTCCAACAACAAACTTGGATGACGAATTACCTATACCAGAATTGCTGGTAATGGTGATATTATCACCTTCAATGATTATTTCCACCTCTGGTTTGACAGAGTCCGCGATTTTGGCCTTGTCTTCTGGAATACCTAAAAGAAACACCCTGTGATGTAGCAACTATACAAAACTATAGACCTTGTGATATATAGATACAGTAACTTTAAACTTAAAATACAAAATATTGCAAAAGGTGTTTTACCTAACCCTGTAAGATATGCTACCAAATTCTCATTCTTTTCCAACTTGTATTTTCCAGCGATTTGAACCATTTTGGTGACTTTACTGTTATCCTATTGCTTCTAAAAACAAAAAGTGACTACTGCACAGGGCAGTGAGCCAGGCGTTTATATAGTAATTTACTTGATAAGATTAAAGTACTCGAGTCAAACAACAGTATAAAAGTTTTTTATATAATAGCGCTACTATCAAAAGTAATTTAAATAAAACAAATTATGTTTTGTTTGTTGATAATGCACACTTTGTACTTCGATCATTATCTTTTATTACCGAATTGATGCGTTTTTTGTTTAATTAATTAAATTCTATATATACGCTGCCCCTGCTGCATTTTAGCAACCATTGAGCAGATTTTAGATATGCGTTAAATAGAGAATCGAAATGCCTTTCAAATTAGGTATCGCAAGCCCCCCCTTTCCATTTGAAATTTTTGAGTTGATACTGCCCTCTTGGCATGAAAAAAAGGTTTTTCTTTCACATTTAATTTAAATCAGTGTATTTAAGTATGGGCTTGTTTGTTTGTATACCTGTACATTACATAATCATTAAAACTTTAATCTTTATTTACGAATCACTTAACTTTTTGGATTTGTTTGCCCTTGAATAAAAAAAATAGATGCATAATAATTACATATATAAAAAATAGTATATTATGTATCAAGTTTGATAAACGCCATTTTATACACGATTTTAATGAGTGTATAGAAAAGTTTATAAACGAGGTCCATACTATACTTTTTCTACGAGAAATACTTATTATTATCTTAAAATGATTTAAATCAAAAATTTGTATAGAGCGCCATCTATGAAACAACATGGGAAACTGTCAAATGTCACATTTTTACATTTTATAAACCCAATTATAAAGGTTATAAATCGAAATGTATCTTGAAAATTGACAGTTTTTCACAGTGAAAGTAAAGGAAATGTTTTATGAGGACTTTACAGTAGAGTCCGTGCCCGAATTTAAGTTATAGTTTACTGCCGGCGAAATTAAAAGGTCAGTACAATGTTCATATAAACTTTTCAAATATTGGCGTTGAGAAACTATTTAATACTTTTGTATTTTTGTATTGAGATAATAAAATAATTTTCACATTTAGTATTATTTTACAAGAAATGCACTTTATTTTAACGATTGTATGACATTTGACAACTGTCAACTAACTTAAAACTAACTTCAGCCCGTGACTAAAAACCTGTTGCTAACTTCAGCCCGTGACTAAAGCGCCGTAAAGCCACAACTTGTCAATGTGTATTTAAAAGTTAGTGTCATGGAAACATGTACGATAAAGGGCGTTTTAAAGGTGGGAGTAGAAAAAGAATTTTAAGGGCAAAACTTCATTTCGATGAAGTTATGCTAAATGCCTCATTGGCAGAAAAAGTACATCGCCTTATGGCCATTTTTGGAGTATAAAAGTAACGTTTTTGGTTTTACAAATATTAAATCACACATTATTTTCAGCTAAGCAGATCAAAAATTTTTGAAACTTTAAAAAATAAGGGGGAAATAATGAACATTCACGTGTGTTCACCAAATTTGTCTCTCCTGGGCCGTAGTCACCTATATTTAACTACTTTTTTATTTGATTTTACTTCGTTTGTGTCTTATTTTTAAGATATTGCAAAAAACTAAAAGTAAAACGAAAGTGGAACATTAAAAAAAATTCAATAACCTATATTTATTATTTGTATGCGTGTAAAATGGTCCAGGGCCCTGTGCAATAAATTACTTAGCAGAAAAGGAAGCAATTTATCATTTTGCGGAGTGATAGTTTGGGACAAATAACGACACTGATGGATCGTGGTACTTTGCCCCCTCCCTGTGGCAGCTTCAGCTACAGAAGCACCAGCTGCTCTTTTACTACAGATTTATCGATGTTCACAGCAAATTGTCCGGTTACGATTCAATTATGGTGGTTAATAGGTTTCTAATTCAATAAGTATACATGTGTGTATATATGTGTTGTGTTTTATAAATATTTAATCAGTATTTTATGTTAATATATTTAAAATAAATGTCTACTGTTTTGAAAATAAACTGTTTTGTCTGCCTTAAAAATTATTATTTAAATATAATAGTTAATGAAAAATAACAACATGTTTAAAAATATACCTATGCCAAAAGTCCATGCTAAAATAAATGTCAAAAAATAGTTGGCCGTCCAGCAGAAAACAGAATTAAATTTAAAGTTAGATTTTAATAATAATAATAATAAAAATAATAATAAAATGTCTTTATTTAAGTAAAAAAATATGTTTTTACAATAACTAGGCGAAGTTTTTTTGCGGGTACCCAAATTGTTTATTGCGAAAGTGAGCATTTATACAGTTTAGCCTAAATAACTTGAAGTTGGTAAGCGTACTAACTTAATTTGAACGACTTTAGGAATGTAAACTTCAGTTTATAATTAAAAGTTACTTTTTTAATCTTCTAAAAATTAATTAATAATTACCACCACTTGACAAAAAAGTGTAGTGTTAACCTCGCAATTACTCCCTCACTTGCCTATCGGCTCGCTCGGAAACTTTCATCATCCAGAGTAATTGCTATGATTCCACGCTCAGTAAACAATATACGCTAAAGAAGCATCGCTAGTAGCGCCACAACTCGTCCGTTATCATCGTAACAAAACTACAACTTTTAATAATCAGCTGTCAAACGCTTGTTTTTGAGAATAAATTCGGAAAATGTTAAAAAATACCGGAAAAAAGCGTGGCACGATTTGTTGTGTTGTTGGGTGTATTTCAAGAGAAAATCCTGGGTTGAGTTTTTACCGGTTTTTCAATAAACAGTGTTAATCCGAATGAAAAAATAAATTTCATACAGTCCCTGTAAATATAAATTGTATCTATTAGTTACATTTTAATAATGATAAACGTGAAAAGTGTAAACATTTCAATTCAGTAAAAATCGTCAAACAAAAAGTCGTCTAAATTCAAACAGCATTTAGGATTATTAAAAGCGTTGATTAAGAAAGTCTCCAATCAACGGTAAAATATCATTATATTATGTATTATATACCGTACCTTCATTTGCAAGCTATACATAGGGAAAATACATTGTAGTTGGACCAGACAAGTTAAAGTCAGCGCAAAGCGAAAAAATTCTCAGAAATTATTTGGACGTAATAAAGTTTTAATCGCGAGTAAACAAGGTCACCTGTTACGTCGCATGTTAGTCTACTCATCCACTCGTCAAAATAATTTCTGGGAACATTTTCGTTTCGCGCCGACTTCGACTTGTCTGTTCCACCTACAATGTATTTTCTCTATGACTACTTAAGAATAGTAACATTCTAGTGTAATTTTTGATCATAGAAAGGATGTTTTTCTGCAATACTGTGCGAGAATATTCCTACTCTTGTTTAAGAATGGTCACAAGTAACGACATCTCCTGGCTGTTTACTAAACGTAAAAAAATTAAAAATATTTAAATATTACTGTATTATTTATTAATTAAAAAATAATAGCAGTTGTATAATTAAGGTTTAGGCACAAAAAATTAGTTCTATTTATTGTTTTTCAAATAAACAAATCAAAATTATAATAAATTTGATATTAAAATGATAAACCAGTTACCTACTATACCGGCTTTGAAGTTTTGACAGATTCAAAAAGTTTAAAAAAAGACCTTTAAAATGTAGAAAAAGAATAGATGTTGACATAGATTACTTGTAAAATTGGTTTTGTATTTGTTACAATGTTATTTTTTTTATTAGTTAGTCTAAATAACTATTTTTAATTATAATAAAGATTTAGGCATACCATTTGTTTAAATTTATTATAATTTACATTATAAAATTGTGACGGCACAAAATGGTTTGACAATACAAAAAACTTAAATGTCAAAAACTGCTTGGTTTCTTTTCTCTGTTTAAACTTATATAAGCGTTACTATTCTTACGTAGTCGTAGAGAAAATAATGTCTGAAACACGTTTGGAATAGCATATTCCACTCTCGTAAATCCGTCACACTCGCCTTCGGCTCGTGTGTCAAATTTTTCCTCGAGCGGAATATGCTGTATTCCAAACTTGTTACAGAATGTACTATTCTCTATGTATAACTTGCAAATAAAGGTACGGTATAATATTATGTTTCCATGAATCGTAGGTATATTTTGTTGTTTAAAATGCGTTTTTTAGAGGACCCAAATATAAAAATGTTCGATTTTAAGGTTATGTTTATGCAACAATTATTTTTTACCAATTTCTTAAAAATGTCCAAACTTAAATATAAATTATATTAGGTTCGGTTACCATTAGTATATTCTGCACCAACAAATGTACTTACCGAATTGGATCCTTTAGCAAAACATGAAAATGCAACGATTTAGTTCTTGAATTTTATTTACAATTAAAAAAACAATAATTCACCATGATCCCTTAGTTAAAATACACACACAAACGTATAAGCATATAAGCGTTGAGTATAAGCATATAAGCGTTGAGTTTCTTAATCAATGATATAAGGAATAATCAATCGAAATCGAGTACTAAAAAGTTTTTTAATTTTTTCCTTGCAACGTAAAACACAAATAACGTGCGCGATTTAGCTGTGCAATTGAACAAAATTTGTCGAGTAAGACTTCTGCCTTCCCCTCTTTTGTGAAAAAACTACCTGTTTATTTAAAAATGATGTGCATTTCTTATGCTTGAAATATATTGTTGACAATTCTTAAATTCACACAATGCTATCGAACTCCACCAGATGGCGCGGGCGTTGCGAAAACCCGATACTTCTTTAGCCAGAGCTGTCAGAAAAAGTATCTTAGGGTAATTCCATTTATTAGCCACCAATGAGTGCACCTCATATACTCTAATTTTATTTCTTTTTTAACTTTAAATAGACATGAACCCAAGAAGTGAAAAAAACTCCCCTTTTCTTTTCTCCCCCAATCACCTATTTATACAGGGCTACGCAAAAGTTACTATGCAGACCTAACTTAAAAAAATTGTACTTTTTTTGCTAATAAAGCTATCGACATTAAACAAACTGTTAATTGTTAAGAAAATATTTCTCTTTTAAACC